AAAAAAAAAAAAAAAAAAAAAAAAAAAAAAAAAAAAAAAGTTCCAAAAGGCTTTTCCGTGTTTGATGTCTGATGCCACTAAGGCACTGAGTGGAAGCGTTTTCAGTTGCACGAGCAGCCCTGCTTGGCTGCAGCCCATTGCGACTGGAGCGCGATTGCTCTTGCACTTCTAGGTGGTGTGTTTGGGAAGCTGCCAGCCTGCCAGCCTGCCTGCCTGCCTGCCTGCCTTCTCCCCTGCACAGCTTCATGCCGCAGGGACACGCATGGTATGCAGGTATCAGCTGATCCCACCTTGCATCGCCCTGGACAGACGGACACTCGGGGTGGGAAGGACGTCGAGGCAAAGGTGCAAAGTGCTTTTGTGGCTCCCGGTGATGGTGGCAGCTGCTGGAGCGGCACCAGCAGGACCACAGGCCTGGCAGACAATAGCTCCCTCCCTGCTCTCTCCCTTACCACGGCATCCCTCGTCCCCAAGACGGAGGAGTCTCATGAATCAAGTCAAACACCCAGCGACAGGCTGGAGAAATCTATTAATATGCACCCGCCGCAGCACGTCGCCAGCCCCCTGCCTCACACGCCGCTCACCTGCCTGTCTCACCCCTGGCAGGCAGCGCTGGAACAAAGAAGCAGGGGAGGACGGCAGTGACTGCCCCCGAAAACGGAGGGAGGCAGCGGCTGGAGACAAAGCTCATTCACCAGCCGCCATGGGTGTGAGGAATGCTGCCGCTCGCCCTATTGTCTGGGGTCCTTTGTGCTCCTCCACCCCCCCAGTCCCCAACCACACAGGCAGAAATATTGGGAGCAGGACAGAAACAGCTTTGTTGAAGGAAGCTCTCGCGTGTGAAAAGCTTCCTGCCCTCGCCCCGCCGTACATGGCCGTCTGGCTTACGGGCCCGCACTCCTTCTGCTCCAGAGGGCAGGTAGGGAGCAGGGGGCTGCACAGCAAAGAGGACAGACAGACCCGGGGGGTTTTGCTTCTTCGCACCCACAGGGGAGCCAGCAGCCCCCTTCTGAGCACCTCCTGCTCCCTACAGGGAGTTGACACCATGCGACACCTTTGGGAGGTGGGGAATGGTCACCTGATCCTGTGGAGGGGACAGGGAGGGCTGCCCTCACCTCATGCCACCGATGCAGGGCCAGCAAGCCCTGCTAGGCTGCCTTAGGGAGCAGATCTGGCAGCACTGACTTCAGTGTGCACCCACCATGCCCCTCACATCCCTCCTGGCCTCCACAGTGGCACAGACGCCTCTACCAAACCTCAGCTGCTTTGTTAAGCAGTGGCCGTGGCCCCCCCATGCGAGCCACATCTGCGGCTGCAGCATTACGGCCCCCCAGGTCCTGCGGGGCTGGTGCCAGGACCTAGATTCCCTTGTCTCAGGGCAGAGCTGTAATTGCCAAGCCCTCCGGAGCGGTCAGTCCCCAGCTGCAGCACGCTGCTCGGCTCTCCTCCCACTGCCACTGCACACTGGCACTGGAGGGACCAGGACAGAGACAAGGGGAAAGCCAGGTCCCTCCAGTGTGGGGAGCAGGGTGACCCCACAATGCCTGTGCCACTGCCCAAGGGACTAGAGCACTGCTGGCCCCATGGCAGCCGCAGCACTGGGCCAGCTCCATCAAGTGACCCAGGGAGAGGTACCACTCATCCAGACATGGCACACTGGCTTGAGCAGTCCCTGCCCTGGCCGCCCTCAGCTGTCTCACTCCTCCCTGCTAGCGCTGCTCACACAAGCAATCTTAGCCACGCATGGAAACAATTGCAAAGTGGGTCTTGTTCGGACAATACAGCCAAGGATATGTCAGCAAAGAAAGAAAGATAAGGTCCAAACCCAAGGGAAAAGCTTGCTCCTGAGGGGTGGCACCTGGGAACATGAAGGAGCCCCAGCATGTGCCTGCTCCTCTGCTGGGACAGCAGTGCTGGCACTCCAGTGCAGAGAACAACAGGGTCTGGGAATGAGCACCAAGAGACTTATGGTACCAAGGTTGCTGATGGAGACTGAAGGGTGTCTATAGGGAACAGGGATGGTAAGGAGACAGCTGTATACAGACAACTAAAGAGCCCATCTTTCAGGTTTTTTCTGGGAAAATGGTTTCTGACATTTTCTGGTACTAAGGAGTGCACATTAAAGAGGAAGACTCTCTCCAACGTTCAGTTTCTCTTCC